TTCAAATCATACACATATCTATAGCTATTCAGAGTATTTAGGTAAATTTGGAGAATCTTTAACTTCGTCACTCAAAATTATGTTAGATGATGGTACTGTCATCATTGAAGCAGATAAAGTTGTATGTACATCATTAATTCCAATTAGAGATCCATTGCAAATCCAAAATCCAAATAATGAACTATTTTCAATGTATTGGCAAGAACGTGATTCATTAGTACAAAAATCAACACTCAATAACTTATCATTCAATAATCCAAATTATGACAACAATATTCTAACAATCATTGAAAATTCAGTTATACCAATTAAAAATGAAAAAGCAATATTCAGAATACTTCAAATATCAAATAACTATGAACTATCAACAGATATCATCAATTTGATCAACACAACACTATCAAATAATTCAGAAATTGATATTGAGTTTTCAATCGGTTTAGAATCCAACCAAGAGATTAAAGATATCAAATCACAACTCCCATCATTTAATGGAAGTTTATTATTAAAAGAAATTAATTTAAATCAAGCATTAATTGAAAAACAACAATTAAAATACAACTACTATGATATTATAATTTTACCAAAACAATTACAAACAACATCAAAACTAATCAAAGACACTGAAATATTCAACATTTTAAATCCAAAAGGATATTTAATTCACAACAGTAATCAAAGTGACGAAGAATTAAATGAAATTGGTTTTGAATTTAATAACTTTATCAATCCAATTACAATTTCACAAAAACCATCAGTTTTATCAAATAATAACTCAATTCCAATATATGATAATATTTTTATTTTTGGTGAAAGTGGTTCATCTGAATCAAATAAGTTTATTAACATTCTTCAAAAATCATATAATAATAACGTTTTAGTTATTTCAAATATAGATGAATTTAATTTACACTCATCAGAAATTACAGATAACTCATTAATTTATTTCATTACAACCATTAATCAAATTAAAAATCAAAATGATATTGCCAGAGTTACATTGGACTATGTTAATATTAATCAACATCTATTAAAAAATAAACTATCAACAAAACACATAATTGTTTCTACATATTGCCAAAAAGAAGCACTCAACTACACATGTTCAGCTGTAATCGGTGCAAGACGTTATTTCGAAGAATTTATTGATCTCAGACTATTTTCAATTGACTTTGATAATGAATCATTACTTTCAAACAATGTAATCGAAAATATTGAATGTTTAACAAGCATATATCAACATTCTGAATATTTAATTAGAAAAAACATTCCATACTTTGAAAGAATTAAAAAAGAATCAAATTTAAAAACTAAATTTAAATCAACATCGTATCAAGAAAACAATGGATTATTAGCAAAACTTGATCCAAATCTTCAATACAAATTAGCCCCAAAAAAAGTACTAAACCCAGACTATGTAGAGGTTAAAACCGAAGCAATTGGTATCAATTTCAAAGATAACTTAATTTATCGTGGTTTAGTTCCAGCAGAACTTATTAATTCAAAAGGAGATATTAGTGATCCAGAATTTGGTTTCGAATTTTCAGGAATTATTACAAGAATTGGTGATAATGTTACCGAATATAAAATTGGTGATCAAGTATTTGGCTATTCAACATGTGCGGCCTCTACTCATGTTTATCCTCACAAAAACAATATTTTCATCAAACCAAACAATATTAGTTTTGTTGAAGCTTCAATCATACCTATTGTTTACATGACCTCACTTTACTCTCTTTTTTATATTGGTAATTTAAATATTGAAGAAAATGAAAGTGTTTTAATACATACTGGTACAGGTGGTGTCGGTTTATCTGCACTCAATATTTTAAAATGGAAAGGATTTAAATCACACTTGTTTGTTACTGTTGGTTCAAAAGAAAAAGAAGATTATCTAAGAGAACACTATGGATCATTAATTACAGGTATTTACTCCACAAGAAATATTAACTATGTAAAAGAAATCAAACAAAAACTAAAACAACTTGGCTCTCAAAAAGATGGTGTAGATTTAATTTTAAACACATTTTCAAATGAATTTATGGATGCAAACTTTAAATGTTTATCAAAAGGTGGTAGAATTGTAGATGTTTCAACAACACATTTAAATCCACACGAATACACCGATTTTAACAAATTTAAATACAATGTAGTTTATCATGCTGTGGAGTTATTAAAATTACCTAATGAAATATTTAAAATGCTATTAAAGAAATTATATGATGGTTTTTCAACCCAAGGTTTGGAACTTATACCAATTAATGAATTTTCAGCTAATAATATCAAAGAAGCAATCGAATTTATGAACGAGAGAAAACTTATTGGTAAAATCTCAGTTGAAATGGATAGTGATGTTTTAACTCCTCTTTTAGAAAATAATAATCAAGACTACAACTTTTTAAAACCAGATTATAAAATTAACCATGAAAGTTTAGGTAAAACTGTTTTAGTTTCTGGTCAAACAGGTCTTATCTTAGAAATATTAAAATGGATTTCAAAATGTTCAACATCTGTCGAAACTATAATTATTTTATCAAAATCGAAGAAAAGATGGGAAATTGAAAAACTCATTAATGGTTCAAAGAATAATATCAAATATATATTTAAGAGTTGTGATATTGGTGAATATGAGTCTATCAAAAAATCAATACAAGAAATCTATTTAGAAAATAAATATATTGGTCAAGTGGAATCTATTTTCCATTTCGCTTTTCAATATGTTAAACATGAACCATTAGAAGTCAGTAAAAACGATTTATATGAATCATTAAGCGCAAAATCGTTTGGAGCAATGAATCTACACAACTTATCATTAGAAAACCAATGGGAATTAAAACAATTTATATTAGCTTCTTCAGTTTCTGCAATTTTTGGATCACCAATTCAAGCTGGATATACTTGCTCAAATTACTTTTTAGATGCACTTGCAAGACACAGAAGGTCATTGGGTTTACCAGCAACTTCAACATTTTGGGGTATTTTCGAAACTGCAGGTTTTATTTCAAAACAACGTTCAATTGCAAGATTTATTGAAAACTTGGGTTTTACACCAATTACTGTAAATCTATTATTAGGATCTCTAGATCTTTTTATTCAAAATCAGGAAATCTCCAACAGTCTTACTGTAAACATTTTCAATGACTCTATCGATATTTACTCAAACAAACCAGCCAACAGCAAAATTGATTTTATTTCAAATGCAATTCAATCTAAAAACAAACAACTATCTGGTGAAGACTCAGGAGCAACTCAAAAAGTAATTGATAAAATTTCAGAACTCTTGACAATTGAAGCATCAAAAATCAATCATGATTGCCGTTTAATTGATCTTGGATCAGACTCTATGGTTATGCTCTCACTTAAAAACTTTATAGATTCAAACTACGCTCAAAACCTATTTTCAATTTCACAATTGCAAACCCTAACTATTGGTGGGATAATCCAAAATATTTTGAAATCTCAAAGTGGCAATAATAATAATCATAAAAAAACCAATGATTTAAAACCAAATAATCAAAATAATTAATTTTAGACCCACACAAATCCCTTTTCACATAAAATTTAAAAACAACCAGTTCAACTATCAAATTATTATAATCAATGAATTTAAAATGTTTCATTTATAACAATCAATATGATAAGAAACCATATTAATTAACATTTCAAATAAAACTTTATTTTATTTTAATATATTATCTCAACAAAGTAAAAAACATATAAATAAACAAATAAAAAACTCTAAAAATAAAAAAAAAAAACTTTTATGATCAATGATTTAATTATTCATTTATTTTATTATTATTTACTTTTTTATTTTATTTTATTTTATTTTATTTTATTTTATTTTATTTTATTTTATTTATTTTATTTATTGTATCTAATTATATAGTAAATTAATATTGAATTTATATTTATAATCTATAAAATAAAGAATAGTCAAGATGAGAAATTTTAAGACTTTTCTTGGTAGCTTGATTCTTTAAACTTTCTTATTGGATTACTTTAATTCAATATATATCATGATATTGTACCAAACCCTTTTTAAATAGAAAAAATAATATTATAAATAAAGCTATATTTTATAAAAATATATAAAATCCACCCTCCTGCTATATAGATTTTATTACTGTACAGATAAAACTTTGATCTAAAATCGTAAACTACTGGGATTTTAGATCAAAGTTAAGAATTATAATAATTTATAGTATTATCTACATAGATTAAAAGTAAAAAAAAGAACCAATAATCTTATAAGTATTTTTTAAAATGGATGAAATTCAAGCCACATTATAACTAAAAGAAGACCTTAAAATAAAAATATAAATTAGTAAAAATAATTATTATTATTTAATTTTAATTATTTTTTACACAAAAATATTTTTTTTTTATTTTTTTTTTTAAAAATTTTAATTTTTTTTAACACATATGCACAATTATATTAATTTTTAATCTAAAGATTTCCACACGGTTTTTTTTTAATATAAATAATTAAAAAAGTACATATATACATATATATGCACTTATAAATCTCCATCTGTTATTCATAATACTTTTTTTTTTATTTTGTTTTATTTTATTTTTTTTATTATCATGTTTTTAAAATTAGTAAAGCATATCATCCCTTTTGTACAATATCTTTTAAAATAATAACCCATCTATTCAAAAGCATTAAAACTATTTTAGGTTGTTTTAACCAAACTATATAAATTATTTTTTTATTTATTCTGTATAACTACGAGCACTAAAATCATGTTAGTATTATCTTTTGCTCATTAAGGTATGTATAAAATTAAATATGTCAGTTTTAATAACCAATAAAGAGAAAAGATTTTTATATTTTAAAAGATAAATAAAAAATAAAATCAATATATAAATATATATATATTTTTTTTTTTCTTTTATTATTCCAACAATTTTGTTTTAATAGTTTTAAAAAAATTAGTCAAACAATTATTAAACATTAGAATATAGAACTAAATTTAAGATTTTTTTATTAAAAAATGGATAACTATAATTTAGATAATAATAGTGAAGATGTAGCAATTATTGGTGTTGGATTTCGTTTACCAGGTGATTCTAATACACCTGACCAGTTTTGGGAAAATTTAAAAAATAAATTCAATGGTATTGTTGACGCTACACAAGAATATCAAAGATGGAGCGAAAATCATGTTTATACAGGAGAAATAAAAAGTAAAAATGCTGGATTGGTATCAATTGATGAATGGAAATCATTTGACCCATTATTATTCGGTATTGCTCCAAATGAGTTGGGAATAACTGATCCACAACAAAGACTGTTACTCAAATCAACATTCGAAGCATTGGAAGATGCAGGTCTTGACCCAATACAAGGAATGAGAGGTACCAACACTAGTGTGTACATCGGTGCCACCACTATAGACTATAAAATGACAGCCTATACTGAAAAAGATAATAGTATCAATTCTTTAATTAGTAATTTACATACAATGTCAAATCGTATTTCATACTGTTTCGATTTTCGTGGTCAATCGTTAACTTTAGATACTGCCTGCTCAAGCTCTTCAAATGCAATACATCTTGGTTATAAATCCATTGTCAATGGAGACTCTGAATATTCAATTGTCGGTGGTTCCAATTTAATAATAGGTAATTATAATGTTTTATTATTTTAATTCCCTTTTAATCAATATAACCAATACTAACTCTGTATATCCCTTTTTTATAATAGATACACTATACACAAAAGCTGTATCATATCTAAACATGGCAGGCGCCGGGGGGTATTGTAAAACATTTGACTCTGCTGCAGATGGGTTTGTACGTGCAGAAGGTTGTGGTGTGCTTGTATTAAAAAAATTATCAAATGCCATCAAAGATGGCAACAATATATACTGCGTTATCAAAGGTGCAAACTCTAATGCCGATGGTACTTTCAACAAAACAACATTTTTCGCACCATCCAAATATGCACAAAATGCAAATCTTGAAAAAGTATTATTAGACAGTAAAACAAACCCAAGTGATATTGACTACTTTGAGTGCCATGGTACTGGTACTCCAACAGGTGATCCAATAGAAACTGAAGCAATATCAATGTCATTAAAAGATCATCGTTCAAACAACTCTCCATTATTAATTGGTTCAGTAAAGTCCAACATTGGTCATTTAGAACCTGCATCAGGTGTTGCATCAATCATTAAATGCTGCTTAATGTTCAAACATCGTCAATTTGCACCAAACATTCACTTTAATAACCCAAATCCAAATATAAAGTTTAATGAATGGAATATCAAAGTTGTAACAGACCTAACTCCATTCCCAAAAAACAAATTAGTAACAATCGGTGTAAATAATTTCGGCGCAACAGGTTCAAATGTTTGTATAATCTTAAAAGAATATAATCAACAATTACAACTACAAACATCTCAAAAATCAAAAAATGAAATAAACTATTTAATTCCATTTTCTGCAAATTCAAAAACATCATTAGAAGACTACAAATCAAAAATTTTAAATAATATATCCAACTATTCAAACAAAATTGAATTTAACGATTTCATTAAACATCAAGTATTTTGTAAATCACCAAACTTTTTACAAAGATCAGTTATCAGTGCCAAAGATTGGAATAGTTTCAATGATAACTTTAAAAATCAAATCAAAACCTCAAGTAATAAATCATACAATATTTTACACAAACACTCAAATCCAGAAATTATTTTTGTTATGTGTGGTCAAGGCCCTCAATACACCAGCATGGCACTCAAACTATATGAAAACAATACAATATTTAGAAAATCAATGGATATGATAAATGAAAAATTGAGCAAACACGCTGGATTCAATATTTTAGAAAAACTTAGATCAATCGACCCCACAGATAAGAAATCAATTAACGATCCATTAATCGCTCAAACATCATTATTTATCGTTCAATTTTCATTAATAGAACTATATAAACATTGGGGAATTAAACCATCTATTATCGTTGGTCACTCTTTTGGTGAGTTGGCATCCACATTTTGTTCTGGTATGATCAATTTAGAAGAAGCCTGCTTTTTAGCTTACCAAAGAGCAAGAATACAAAGTTTAACAGTAACAAATAATCAAGATAAATCTTTAAATTCAAGAATGCTTGTAATTAATATTAGTGAAGAACAATTCAATCAAAAGTATTCATCTAGATATCCAGATATTACAATTTGTTGCTATAACTCACCTTCATCGATTGTTGTCGGAGGTAATGAAGCTAAACTAATTGAAATTCATAACGAATCAAAATCAAACGGTATATTCTCAGCATTTCTTGGTGCACAAACAGCATTCCATTCATCAGCTCAAGAAAGTATAAAGGATCTTGTTTATTCTTTAAAACAAATTAAATATAACAAACCAACTATTCCAACATTTTCAACAGTAACAGGTGAACTATTTGGTAATAATGAAATTGAACCTCCTGCTTCACATTATATCTATTCAAATATTAGAGAACCAGTAATGTTTAGTAAAGCAATTGAAAATATATTCAATCATATTGAAACTCAAAATAAAAACAATAGAGCAATATTTTTAGAGATTTCACCACATCCAACTTTATCATATTATATCAAACAAATGATACCAAAAGAATCAAATTATTTTAGTGAAGATTCAATAACAGTAATAAGCTCGTTAAATAAAAACAAAGATGATACTCAAGAAATTCAAAACACAATTTCACAACTATATTGCAAAGGCTATAATGTCAATTTTAAATCACAGTTTATAAATGAAGATATTTATTTACCATCAGTAATATCAAATACATCAATCCTACCAAGATATCAATGGGATAATAATCAATATTGGTCAGAAAGTGATAGATCTCTCAAAGCCAGAACTGAAGGACCATCAATTGATCAAAAAGGGTTCTCCATCAACTCAAATCAAACTATCTACGAATCATTTATAGATATCAATAGACCACCATTTGAATATTTAAAAGGACACGTTGTAAAAGATAAATATTACTTCCCAGGTTGTGGATATATTGATAGCCTTGTATCAATTTTCAACTCTAAAGATTTTATTATACCATATTTAGAATTTAAGACACCTTTAATCTTAAAAGAAAAAGAAGTCAAACATTTACAAACATCAATAACAAAAACCTCAAGAAATGAATACAAAGTTAGTTTTAGCTTCAAAGACAAGAATGAATGGGTAGAAACATCTCTTGGTAAAATTCATGTTTTCAATTTTGAAACACCAATTGAAAAACTTAATTTTGAGAAATTAAAATTAAAATGTGGCAACACAAAACTTTCAAAAGATGAATTATACACACACATCAAATCTAAAACCGGATTATCATACTTAAATCATTTCAAGAGAGTTGAAGAATGCTATCAAGGCGATGGATGCACATTTTCAAAGATATCATTAAATCCATCAATTACAAGCTTTAAAAAGTCATTCCTAGATCCATCAATTATTGATACAACACTTCATGGTTTCCTATCATATATCGAAGATCCATGTCAAATTGTATTGGATAGAGTCGAAGACTACAGAATCTATTCCACAAATATTCCAAGCGATATTTCAAATCATACACATATCTATTGTTATTCAGAGTTTTTAGGTAAATTTGGAGAATCTTTAACTTCATCACTCAAAATTATGTTAGATGATGGTACTGTCATCATTGAAGCAGATAAAGTTGTATGTACATCATTAATACCAATTAGAGATCCATTGCAAATCCAAAATCCAAACAATGAACTATTTTCAATGTATTGGCAAGAACGTGATTCATTAGTCCAAAAATCAACACTCAATAACTTATCATTCAATAATCCAGATTATGACAACAATATTCTAACAATCATTGAAAATTCAATTATACCAATTAAAAATGAAAAAGCAATATTCAGAATACTTCAAATATCAAATAACTATGAACTATCAACAAATATCATCAATTTGATCAACACAACACTATCAAACAATTCAGAAATTGATATTGAGTTTTCAATCGGTTTAGAATCCAACCAAGAAATTAAAGATATCAAATCACAACTACCATCATTTAATGGAAGTTTATTATTAAAAGAAATTAATTTAAATCAAGCATTAATTGAAAAACAACAATTAAAATGCAACTACTATGATATTATAATTTTACCAAAACAATTACAAACAACATCAAAACTAATCAAAGACACTGAAATATTCAACATTTTAAATCCAAAAGGATATTTAATTCATAACAGTAATCAAAGTGACGAAGAATTAAATGAAATTGGTTTTGAATTTAATAACTTTATCAATCCAATTACAATTTCACAAAAACCATCAGTTTTATCAAATAATAACTCAATTCCAATATATGATAATATTTTTATTTTCGGTGAAAATAGCTCAAATGAATCAAACAAATTTATTGAAACCATTCAAAACTCATATAGCAAATCAAATATAAGCAAATCCCAAAATAGCAAAAGACTAAAAATGTCATATAAAGATAAAAGAATTTTTCTCATTCCAAATATAGATGAATTTAATTTACACTCATCAAAAATCACAGATAACTCAGTAATTTATTTCATTACAACCATTAATCAAATTAAAAATCAAAATGATATTGCCAGAGTTACATTGGACTATGTTAATATTAATCAACATCTATTAAAAAATAAACTATCAACAAAACACATAATAGTTTCTACATATTGTCAAAAAGAAGCACTCAACTATACATGTTCAGCTGTAATCGGTGCAAGACGTTATTTCGAAGAATTTATTGATCTCAGACTATTTTCAATTGACTTTGATAATGAATCATTACTTTCAAACAATGTAATCGAAAATATTGAATGTTTAACAAGCACATATCAACATTCTGAATATTTAATTAGAAAAAACATTCCATATTTTGAAAGAATTAAAAAAGAATCAAATTTAAAAGCCAAATTTAAATCAACATCGTATCAAGAAAACAATGGATTATTAGCAAAACTTGATCCAAATCTTCAATACAAATTAGCCCCAAAAAAAGTACTAAACCCAGACTATGTAGAGGTTAAAACTGAAGCATTTTGTATCAATTTCAAAGATAACTTAATTTATCGTGGTTTAGTTCCAGCAGAACTTATTAATTCAAAAGGAGATATTAGTGACCCAGAATTTGGTTTCGAGTTTTCAGGAATTATTACAAGAATTGGTGATAATGTTACCGAATATAAAATTGGTGATCAAGTATTTGGCTATTCAACATGTGCGGCCTCTACTCATATATATCCTCACAAAAATAATATTTTCACCAAACCAAACAATATTAGTTTTGTTGAAGCCTCATCAATTCCTGTTGTTTACATGACCTCTCTTTACTGTCTTTTTAATATTGGTAATTTAAATATTGAAGAAAAAGAGACTGTTTTAATACATACTGGTACAGGTGGTGTCGGTTTATCTGCACTCAATATTTTAAAATGGAAAGGATTTAAATCACACTTGTTTGTTACTGTTGGTTCAAAAGAAAAAGAAGATTATCTAAGAGAACATTATGGATCATTAATTACAGGTATTTACTCCACAAGAAATATTAACTATGTAAAAGAAATCAAACAGAAACTAAAACAACTTGGCTCTCAAAAAGATGGTGTAGATTTAATTTTAAACACATTTTCAAATGAATTTATGGATGCAAACTTTAAATGTTTATGTAAGGGCGGTAGAGTTGTAGATGTTTCAGTAACACATTTAAATCCACATGAATACACCGATTATAACAAATTCAAATACAATATTGGTTACCATGCTGTGGAGATGTCTAGATTAAATAGTGAACCAATTAGAATTCTATTAAAACAACTATCATATGGTTTTTCAACCCAAGGTTTGGAACTTCTACCAATTAAAGAATTTTCAGTTAACAATGTCAAAGAGGCTATTGAATTTATCAATGAAAGGAAACTTATTGGTAAAATCTCAGTTAAAATGGATAGTGATGTTTTAACTCCTCTTTTAGAAAATAATAATCAAGACTACAACTGTTTAAAACCAGATTATAAAATCAACCATGAAAGTTTAGGTAAAACTGTTTTAGTTTCTGGTCAAACAGGTCTTATCTTAGAAATATTAAAATGGATTTCAAAATTCTCAACATCTGTCGAAACTATAATTATTTTATCAAAATCGAAGAAAAGATGGGAAATTGAAAAACTCGTTAGCGGTTCAAAGAATAATATCAAATATATATTTAAGAGTTGTGATATTGGTGAATATGAGTCTATCAAAAAATCAATACAAGAAATCTATTTTGAAAATAAACATATTGGTCAAGTGGAATCTATTTTCCATTTCGCTTTTCAATATGTTAATCACGAACCATTAGAAGTCAGTAAAAACGATTTATATGCATCATTAAGCGCAAAATCGTTTGGAGCAATGAATCTACACAACTTATCATTAGAGAAACAATGGGAATTAAAACAATTTATATTAGCTTCCTCAGTTACTGCAATTTTTGGATCACCAATTCAAGTTGGATATACAAGTTCAAATTACTTTTTAGATGCACTTGCAAGACACAGAAGATCATTAGGTTTACCAGCAATTTCAACATTTTGGGGTCTTTTCGAAACTGCAGGTTTTATTTCAAAACAACGTTCAATTGCAAGATTTATTGAAAACATGGGTTTTACACCAATTACTGTAAATCTATTATTAGGATCTCTAGATCTTTTTATTCAAAATCAAGAAATCTCCAACAGTCTTTCTGTAAACATTTTCAATGACTCTATCGATAGTTACGCAAACAAACCAGCCAACAGCAAAATTGATTTTATTTCAAATGCAATTCAATCTAAAAACAAACAACTATCTGGTGAAGACTCAGGAGCAACTCAAATAGTAATTGATAAAATTTCAGAACTCTTAACAATTGAAGCATCAAAAATCAATCATGACTGCCGTTTAATTGATCTTGGATCAGACTCTATGGTTATAATTTCACTTAAAAACTTTATAGATTCAAACTACACTCAAAACCTATTTACAATTTCACAATTGCAAACCCTAACAATTGGTGTGATTATCCAAAATATTTTGAAATCTCTAAATGGCAATAATAATAATAATAAAAATAAAAAAACCAATAATGTAAAACCAAATAATCAAAAGATAATTAGCAACAATAACAATAGAGAGTTTTGGGAAAAAGAAATTAAATTAAACAACACAGTCAAAAATTTGGCAAATACTTCAATAGATTTTAACAAACTTTTAGCAAATGACTTAAATGTCCTTTTAACTGGTACATCTGGTTATTTAGGTGTTTATTTGTTATCGAATTTATTAAAAAGATCAAATTGCTCAAAAATCTATTGTTTAGTTAGAAATAAAAAATCAAATAATGAAGCATTAGAAACAATTATAAACAACTTAAAATATCATGGATTATATGAACAAATAACAGCAAATGAATTTAAAAAGATTGAAATTATTTTAGGTGATATTTCCATTCAACAATTTGGCCTTCAAGATGAACAATATAATAATATAGCTTCGAATATCAATTTAATTATAAATTGCGGTGCCTATACCAATTTAATATCTCCATATTCAGAATGTAAACCAATTAACGTTGCATCAACATATGAAATGCTTAAATTTGCAAGCCACAATGAAAAACTAATTAAACCAATTATTCACATTTCATCATTTTCAATATTCACAAATATTCAAAAAGAAGAATTTGAAGACTCATTCATACCATCAGTCGACCAAATTGAACAATGTGAAAACGGTTATGGTCAATCTAAAATCGTTTCAGAATATTTAGTCAGAGAAGCTTCAAACAGAGGAATACCATCAATTATATTAAGATTACCATTTATATTTGCAAATCCATCCACTGGCATCGGAAATAAAAATGACCTTATACAACTATTTATCCATGCTTGTTATAAATTAAAAATATATCCAGACCAATTTAAAGTTTTAACTAATTTGGCACCAATTACTTGGATTTCCGACAATGTATGCAAAATGATATTAAATGCAAACTGTTGGGAAAACAACTCCTCCAAAACATACAACTTAATCAGTGACACATTCAAAATCGGCGATGTATTAGAACAACTTTCAAAAGAATTTAATTTACAAAAACTTGACTACAATGATTGGAAATCAAGATTAATTGAATCAAAAAATGAATCCTGTAGTAAAATATTATTTTTAGAACCACAAAGAAAATATTTCACACCAAATCTAAAAGCAACCAGTTCAACTATCAAATTATTAGAATCAATGAATTCAAACTACAATGATTCATTTGTTACAATCAATATGATAAAAAATCATTTAAATTTTTATTTTAAATAAAATAATTTCATTTTAGTCCAAAATATAAAATTAAAAACGAAGAAATTTTTTTTTTATTATTTATTTATAAATATATAATTTATTACTTTTATTTATTTATTTTTATTATTTTTTTTTAAATGTTTATTTTTTTTAAAAAAAAAAAGAGAATTCAATAAAATATAATTGAATTTTGAGACCGTTTTTGATATTAATATCATATATATTATTTAATTATTGTTTTTACATTGAAGATTTAATGAAACCTCTTACTGAAGCTACTCCATAATTCCAATTTATTTGAGTTTTATATCCATGCTTTTCGAGACAAGCTGACAAATAGAATTGAACAAAGTAAAATCCAGCCAAGCCAGTTAATGCATGCCAAACTGAATGTAATTGAATACCTGGGATAACATTGCCATTACTACAAAGTTTTCTTTCAATGAGCCAAGAGAAATATGCGGATAACATTGAAATACAACAAAAGAGTAAGAACTTCTTTGGGTTACTTTCGCTGAGTGGAATTTTAATTTTACGAGCATAAAAGTGAGAAAGTACAACATTTGAGCAAATGAGGAAACCAAATGCAACTTGAAGAATAGTTGGGCAATCACGAATAATTGAAATTGTGATGGCAACTGCAATAACATATGAAGATAATCCAATTGGAAGGTATTTACGCATAAATATATACCATTTTGGGTCTTTTTCTTTATCTACTGGATCGATTGTTAACATTGAGTAAATAAAAGTTGCTGCAGTTAACAACATTGGGAATTCATCAAATAATTGATTTTCATATAACAATGTTGCATGATAAAATGCACTACCAACACCAACTAGGAATAAAGATGTGTATGAAAGTATAAGCTGAGTTCTAATATTTAATTTCTTTAAAATCTTTATATGTTCAAACAATTGTTGATCTCTTGACGATGCCGACATCATTAAATAAATACCATAAATTCCAAATGCACTAATAACAAAACTCGAAAATGTATTATAAAATTCGCAAATATATGGTGATATTTCATAATTATTTTCGCACCTGAATTATTATAAAAAAATAAAATTAATATACGATGATTCATTCAAAACAATTTTATCCTCTTAACACATACCAATCTATATTAGATGTTACACGGCCCCAATAATAATCTTGACTTTTAATTGAATCCATTTTTAAATTATTTATTTTTTATATTTTTTTTTAAAAATAATAAAAACTTAATATATCTTTTTTTTTATTTTTTTATTTTATTTATATTTATTAATATATATACTATAATAAATGTTTATTCTTTTTTAAAAAAAACAATGTATTTATTTTCCTATTTTTTATATTAATAGAAAAAAAAAAGTATATTACAATTGTTATAATATAGATAGATCTATTGTATTTAAGTAGTAATTATATAATTTTATTGAATGTTACACAAAAAAAAAATTTTAAAATTTTAAAAAAAAAAAAAATATATAAATATATTTTTTATGGATATATAATAAAATAATTCTTTATATTTAACAGTAATAAATAGTAAAAGAAAAATAATTAAATAGCAATGGGTGAAATTAAAAAAATTTAAAAAAATTTAAAAAAAAATAAAAAAAATTAATTTTTATTTTTTATTTATTTTTTTTTTTTAATTTAAAATAAAAAAAAAAACGAAAAGAAATTAATTCTATAGAAATCAAAAAAATAACTGAAAAAAAATTCAAAAAAAAACTCAATTTGGTCACGCATTATAACATCAATCTAGAAAAAGAATAATAATTTCATAGTTTTGAAACTTTCAGAGTTTTAATATTTAGAATTATCTCTACTCCGCTATTCTAAAGTGATTATTATAATAATTCATAAAAAAAAATTAAAAAAAAATAAAATAAAAACAAATTTAAACAAAAAAACAAAAAATTAAATATTTTAAATTATAATTACCAACATTGTTTTATTTTTTTTTTTTTTTTTTATAAAATTATCATAATTTTAAAAAGATTGAGATAAAGCAATTAGAACTTTAGAGAATGAGTTTCACAACAATAATACCAAAAACAATATAAACAATTATAAACAAGTGAAGTTAAAAAAAAAAACCGAAATAATGCTGATGTAGATTTTATCGAAAGTAACAAGAATTTTAATTGATATCAAAAAGATAATTATCTAAATTTTTCCAACTAAATATAAACGATTTTATGAATTAAATAGAAAAATATAATAAAGAAGTAAAAAACATAGGTAAAAGGGAAATCTACAGTTATGGTGGAATATGAAAACTCCACACAACAAAATAATATATCTGAAGAAAATAAAATATTGAAAATTATAAAATAAAAACCTTTTTATTTTTATTATTGGTGTTTCTAAAGTTTTATGTTATCTTTGGCTTTTGGTATACCTGGAAACTCCAATTCTGATATGTTTGTATTGAACAAATCTTGAATATTTTTATTTTTCAATCGTTCAAATTCACCCATGTAGTAATTAATTACATCATTAAACTCGAATTCGGGGAGAGTACCATCTGGTTCAATTTTTAGGGATCTGTAAACCTTTGCAACGTTTTCAAATATTTTAACCTCGTCATCTAACATTTCAAGGTATTTTTGGAGACAATCAATAGTACAACCTTTCTCTAGTGGAACTTCAAAGATTATTTTACCCCAGCTGGAAATACGTTCACAGTTAATACTAGGGTCATGATAAGGATGAGGGCACTGCGCTTTTTGAATATTCATTATTTTGTTTTATATTTAATATAACTATATTATTAATAATTTGAAAAATAAATAAAATAAATTAAAAATATTTTATTATATTGTCAAACCAAGTTTGAAATAACAGGAAAAAAATTTTATTTTTTTAATATTTAATTTTAATTTATTTTTAATTTTAATTTATTTATATTTTTTTAATTTTAATTTTAATTTATTTATTTAATTTTAATTTATTTTTTTTCTTTCAGATCCAAGGATAAATTCATTAGCTACCAAAAATATTAATAATTATCAATGGACATATTATTATTAAAAATCATTTAAAAAAAATAATATTCAAAATATTGCATTGGTCATCCTCGATTGAAATAATTAAACGAAAGCAAAACTACTAAGTTTTTTGAAAATTTTTTAGACTTTAAAAATAAAATAAATATAATTTTAAAAAAGACTTTATATTAAATTATTTTTTTATTCATCGAAAATAACATATTTTCATCGGAACTTTTTTTTCAACTAGGACCTGCTGGACACTCCATTGGGTTCTTCATTTAATTGCTCCATAAATTGTACAATTTTATTTTAATTTAATTTAATTCTTTTTATCTTTGTCTTTGTCTTTTTCTCTTTCTCTTTCTATTTTTGGTATTGGTAATAAATTATTTGATGACGAAGAGGTTGAATTTGAAATCGATTGTTTTCTTTTTGAATTATAATAATAACTTCTACATTGACTCACACTTTTAGTTGAAATGTAATCTGCAATTGATTTAAAATCAGAACCAAATTTATTTGCTGCTATATTGAATAGTTCCCTTTCTTGATCAGTCCATCTAGGGTTATCGTTATCTGTTGTGGTTGAGGTGGTTGTGGTTAAAGATGATAATGACATTGATGGAATTACTGATGGTGATGAGGGGTTTTTGGGGGGGTGGGGGGTAATCACACCACCATCCTTCCGCCCCACCAAAATATGGGAAACGAACATCAGTCCCACATATTAAATAAATCCAGTTGTCCCTATTGATGCCGAGCAAGCCGTGTTTCAACCTTCTGCTTACAATGAGACTTAGTTCAACTCAAAAGGAGGCGCCGATTTTCTCCACAATGAAAAAAGAACCCTTC